GGAGGGGAGGAGGGGGAGGGGAGGGGGGATAAAATGATTGCAACATTTGGTAGGCAATGCAGACTTGATTATGTCTGGAAATTTTCGTTTTGCATACAATCACATTGATAGACTGGTGGTGAATGAATTATTTGTGTGTATGTCAAAGTAAAAAATGATAAATTTCGCTTTACTCTCAAGTAAGCATTATTGGGAGAGTAAAAAGTACAATCAGATGAATCAGAAGTTCTATTTATTTGAAGTCTAATTTTAAAAATTTCACTGATGTGTTTCCTTAAAAATTACAATTTCGATAATGAGCTCTTTTAAATTTGGCATCGATTTTCTAAGTGTGTCAAGCAGTTGTTCAATATCCCCATTTATTACACTGGTGGACTCCTGTCTTGAAACCACGAATCTCATAAGTGTGAAGTAGCATGTCTGCTCGAACTCCTTGACCTGGTGGAATGTCCCTCAGGAAGGGAAAAAATTTAAGTCATTTTGTGGGTCCACTTAACGCTCTTACTATTTAATTCTGGGTAATAACCAGACTAGTCTCTAGACATTAATAAAGCCCAATCTTAACCCCCGGATTTACGGGCGTACATTCAAAGTTAGTTTGAAATTAATTTTTCATTCATTAATCATTTGACTGTGTGATCAAAAGCTGGGTTGTAAGTCAATTTTTCATATTATCCAAATTAAAAAAATTTTAAACTTCACATTTCTGTCACTACTTGTTGTAGAGTTTTGCGAGTAAACGTTCTATTCATATTCACAGCTGTGTGTGGTCTATAACTGATTCATTTCACCCATACGATTCTACTTTCTTGAGTAGTATTGCTCCATCATGCTACCCAATTGGCACCTATTAAGGGACCACTCAACAGTGCCTAGCAGGAAGTTTCAATTCCTACTCAACCGCAAGGAATACAACTCCTGTTCTTGACCTCAATCCTTAAAATCTGCCCTTCACGCCTCTTGGAGATTTCATGTTCATGTCACCCAGAGTATATTGGGTCGTGGATTTAATTGATCTCCTGGTCACTTTGGAGCTTTAAGTTAATTAACCAGAGTTAGTTGCTTATTTCTGTTTTTTTAAAGAAAAGTTTTACATTATTCAAATATTCTGTGCTTCAGCTTGCTACACTTTGACTGAGTTCGAACTCATCCCTTATAAAGGGAGTAGATTTCGCAGATTTTCAGATTTGTAATACCCTATTAGTTGTGAAACATTAAGCTTTTAAGAGGTTTAAACATGTTAATTTTTCAGTGTGAGGTAAGTAAAAATAGGTGTTTAAATTTATGGTATCGTAATGGCAGTAAGTAAGTGCAGGTTGGCATCTTGAGCTCTGCTAATTAATGAAATTTTGTGGTCACTGAGATGGTCAGAAGGTGCCCACTTCTTGGAGCCAGCTAATATTCCAACATTCAGTAATCCAAATTTCAGAAAGCCGATGTGAGTTTGCTATGACTCCCTCTCGTACACGAAAACGATGGGTACAGCGTGATAAACGAGTTTGATGACTTCATTTATACGGCATGAACTCATTTCACATGTCCAGCCAATAGGGATCACGCTTTAAGGTAGTACGCACGCACGTACGTCGTATGTCTGCTCCACATGCACACGGGGAACTGAGTAGAATTTCATCCACAATTCCCCTATTAATTTGCGCGTGCATTCGACTGACGCAGAATCAACAGTTGTGTATGCACTCAGGTCATACAAATGTCTGGACCCTATCTCGACGGTACTAGATAGCTAGCTTGGAGTATACTCACACAAACTTCCGTCCCTTTCTATGTACCAACTACATCTGGATTTAACACTAACTTTTGTCTTCATTTCTATTTTTTTTGCCAATGCCACTGATGATTCTGGTAACCATTTGGACGATGTAGAGAGTCTGAGGAGTTTAATCTTCGCTCCGGAGACTGGGGATACAGTAACGGCTCTGGAATCGTTCCAATCAACCATCTGCTCACCTATAGATGAGCGACTTCAACGACAGTGCTTCTCGGAACTCCCTAGAGACGAATACGAGGCTCTTGAGGGGGCCACTGTGAGAATGAGATGTCGGGTGTCGAGACAAAGAGGAAAGACTCAATGGAGAGCTCATAACACTTTACTAGGTAGGTCTTTTGAAATATTTATTACCTAGTTTGGACGTCTATACACCCATCGCATAGATTAAATTAGAGTCTGTTTATAAATTTAATTTAATGATTTATGAGGCCGAGGTGGGGACTAGGAACATAAAATCGTTTAAAACAATAGTACTACTAGCGGCTGAAAGAAGATATCGCTATCCACTTTGGAACACATCATATTTCCGTTAGAAAAGCCAATTTTGCCCAACAGGAAGTAATGGGCCACGGTGGATTAAAAAAAAATTTAGTAAATTACTGTCAATAACAGAGCATCAGTGTTACTGGCAATCATAAGTTGCAGGAGCTCTTTTTACCGTAATTTGTGCTCCAATTGAAAGTACCGTTTATTCTCTCTCAGTTTGTGCATATTTTTTGGGGCCCAAGTGTAAACCTCCTATCTATTTCAACAAAATGAATCTGCTTGAATTAATCGACTTTTGATTACATATTTCAAATCATGAAGGCCAATATCGGTCTTACCTCATTATTTTCAAAACGGAATATAATAGTTTTTTTAATTTTAAAAATTTTATTGACACTGAGAAAGACTATTTAGGGCAAACAGGAAATTGGTTGTGAAATCACCAACTTCATGTTATGAGCTGAAAGTTTTCTTTATCCCAGGGTTCATTTTATTGATTTTTTTGAGAAATTAAGCAATGAACCCTAAATTGATAAACCTTGTATCAGGCCTTAGTCAGTTCCAGAAACAAAACGAGAATGAGGTAGGCTATGGGAGACGTCTGGAGATCACGAT